CGCGTCAAGAGGGTGTCCACCTTCTCTGGCCGTTCCCCACCAGCGCCTCCCCCAAACAAGACCCCCCGGCTGGAGGAAGACAGAGAGTCCTTGGAGGATGCTCCCCAGGGTCCAGGGCTTAGTGGCAGCGGGTGAGTGAATGTGCTGAGTCTGTGGAGGAGGGTGAGAGAGGTGGGCAGGAGAAGGCAGCTCAGCCTTCTTGGGGTTCCTCCCCCAGGTTTAGCCGAGTGAGGATGAAAACGCCCACAGTGCGTGGAGTTCTCGACTTGGATGAGCCTGGGGAACCCACTGGGGAGGAAAGTCCGAGGTGAGTAGCCAGTGCCCTTTCCCTGGAGGCTCTGGGACCTCCATCCCTTCCTCTTTCTGACAGGTCTCTCCTCACAGGCCCCTCCAGGACCGGTCCCCTCTGCTGCCACTCCCAGAAGGTGGTCCTCCCCGGGCCCCCGATGGTCCCCCTGACCTGCTGCTTGAGTCCCAGTGGCACCACTACTCAGGTAGGGACCAGCCTCTCGCTCTCCCTGCCTCCTTCTTTATGCTTGCCTCAGCTGGGTGATGGTCAGATGCAGAGTCAGTCTACTTCAAAAGATAGACCTCGTGTACCAGTCTGGCTCTGAGCCTGAGACTAGGTATTCAGAGTTCGAGAGATGCCCTCGGAGCTCCTGGCCCGTGGCAGAAAAAGGCAGAGAGATGAAGTTTCAGCTCCACATGAGAGGCCCTTCAAAAGTGCCCAAGAGCTGGGGGGTCGGCTTCAGAGCCTGATCTGCCAGGGTCGGAGGGTTAGGTCCCTAGTGTGGGGGCTGTCAGAATTAGAGATGGGATTTAGAGCCGTGCAGCCAGACAAGAGCACCTGGGGGTCAGCCAGCGAGGATGGAGCTCATCTAGGATCCAGAGGGGCAGGAAGAGTAGGAAGGAGATAAGACACCAGGCACGTGGGGTCTAGGGTTGGTGTACTGGCTGGGAAGGATGTTGTGTCAGGGTCTAGAATTGAAGACAGTGGTTGATGAGGAAGCCAAAACAAGACCCAGGCATCTTGCCAGCAAGCTTGGCTAAGGGTCTGAGAGGAGAGGGTGGGCAGCAGCCCAGAGAGGTTTGTATGAGGGCTGAGTAGCAAAGCCATGGAGGAGGGTGAAGGGGGCTTGTGGATGGAAGCAGAGGTGGGAGGAGGCGTGGTGGTTGGATGTGAATAGGAGACCGCTGAGGTGGAGGAAAGGGGAGGGCAGTGCACGTGCGGAGCCATCAGGACACAGGACAGGGGTACGCAGAGTGGATCGGGCTGACAGCCTTGGTGAAGCTGGGAGGGCAGTGAGTGCTCTGTTGGTTATAGAGGGCCATGGGAGAGGGGGTAGGCTACAGCCAAGCGAGCTGGTAACTGAGCAGCCTGAGGCTTGGAATTTCTCCTGGCCCCAGGCCTGCCCGGATGTGTGGATTGTCTCATTACGTAGCGCTGAGTTACTGAGCGTGGAAGCGGAGCGAGGTACACAAGAGACCGCTTAACTGAAAGACTGCGTATGGGGGTCAGAGGTGGCGTGAGGATATGGCAGTGACCATGACGGACAGGTCCCCACCCTTAGGGACCACGCCACATTTTGGTAGAGGAAACAGACACGTACGTTAGCAAGTGTACTGCAGCTGAGAACGAGCGCCGTGAGAAAGAAGGCAATGAGAGCGCCCGGGTGAGGCCCCTGTAGTCAGCCTGTCGGGTTCAGGGAACAGAATGGAGGTGAGGATGGGGTAAGGGCAAAGAGGAGGTGGAAGAAGTTGTCAGAGGTGAACCCAGAGGCACAGAGGCCTGGAGATGATTTGGGTCATACAGCAAATCAGGTTTGGAGTCTTGCCTCGGGCTGGGAGGGCACACGGTCAAGTTGGCCCAGGGGAGTGGTGTGGGGAGCAAGTGTGGCCACATGGGTCCTGCCTCACCTCTAAAGCACGCTCCACTCTAACTGAGGTTCTCCCCACCCTCCCCCTCCAGACATGATGGTCAGCCCTCAGTCCGCACGGTGCTTGAGCTAGCCGCTGCATCTGGGCTGATCCCGCCCCCCAACCTCCTTGTAGCACTTCCTTCGATGGCTTCCAACAGCCCCGTCCCCCCCTCCCGGTCCTGTCTCCTCATTGCCCCAGCCTGTCACTTTGGCATGTCCCAGGGCCCCGGCCTTGACTTCTCTGTCTGTACCTACTCTGGGGTGTTCTCATCTACTTCATGGCTCTAAATCCCATCTCTTATTCTGACAGCCGGTGGATTGGTAGCCAGGCTCCTAGATCCTGCTGCCTGCTCCCCGTCTCCACCAGCAGGTTGCAAGGGCAGGTTTTCTAAGAGGAATTTCAGACTCAGCATATCCCAAACTGAGCTCTCTGCCTTCACCCCAGACTTGTTCCTCCCTCTCCCTCACCATCTATCTCATCATCAGCAGTTTTACCATTCCAGTTGTTCAGGCCCCAAACCTCAGAGCTGTCCTTGACCCTGCACTGGCTCTCTCCATCTCCTACATCCCCATCTCCTACCGCAGCAAGTCCTGTCTGTTGCGTCTTCAAAATCTTTAGACCCTGAGAAATCTCTTAAATAGCTCATAATGTACATATACTTGACTCTGTGGGTAGGAGCCTATATAATAAGTTTGTAATATTTACAGAGCTGTGCTGCATATAAAAAACGCAAATATACTTCTGGTATTTTTAATTTTCTGTGAGAGAAGAATGAGGGGTAGATGGGCGTTTTTGGTAAGATGGGTTTGAGTGAGCGGGTGTCCAAGTGTGTCCTGCGGAGCCGGGGCACTCCAGGCCTCCGTGGACATGCTCATCTCTCCAAGAACTCTCACAGAAAAGGGACCGCGGGCTCTTTAGAGAAAAATAATGTCCATCCTGTAGGGCTCACGGGGCAATCAGAGCAGGAAGAGAGCCCTCAGACCAAGTATCTGTGCTTGTGCAGGGAGAGGAAGGGAGGGGGTGGGAACCCGGGGCTCTGGATCTGGGGTGATCCTCACCTACTCTGACCTGCTGCTTGGGACCAGGTGAGGCTTCAAGCTCTGAGGAAGAGCCTCCCTCCCCAGAGGACAAAGAGAACCAGGCCCCCAGACGGGCTGGCCCGCATCTGCGCTTTGAGATCAGCAGTGAGGATGGGTTCAGCGTGGAGGCGGAGAGCCTGGAGGGTGAGTCGGGAGTGGTGGTGACGGAGGGAAGGTGTCCGGTCGAGCCCCATCCTGACCGCTCTGGCCCTGCTCTCTCCTCAGGGGCCTGGAGAACTCTGATTGAGAAGGTGCAGGAGGCCCGAGGGCACGCCCGGCTCCGGCATCTCTCCTTCAGTGGCAAGTGGAGGGGCCGCAGGCGCGCGGAGAGCTGGGAGGACTCGGAGAGGGTAAGAGGGGCCTCTGACATGACATGTGTCCTCACCTCTGTCCCCAGGAATGAGCGGGGCGAGGCTCCTGGGCATCCACCACGATGCTGTCATCTTCCTGGCGGAGCAGCTGCCCGGGGCCCAGCGCTGCCAGCACTACAAGTTCCGCTACCACCAGCAGGGGGAGGGCCAGGAGGAGCCGCCGCTGAACCCGCACGGGGCGGCCCGCGCCGAGGTCTATCTCCGGTGAGGCTCTGGGCGCCGCTGGGGGCGTTCTCGGGCGGGGGAGTTAGGTCTTTAGAGACTGGGAACCGGGGCCTGGGAGAAGATGCCAGGCCCCTCCAGGAATCACTCCTAGATTCACGGCACAAGAGCGAGCCCCATTCCCCTTCCACTCTGTCTTCGGGGGCAGCAGTATTTCTTCTTTGCTGGCGGCAGGCCCAAGCCAGAGGGTAGGGAGGTGGCGTCTCTTTGAAGGAACGGCTATTAGCCTCCCTTCCTCCTCCTTTCCTCCCTTCCTGTTGCAGGAAGTGCACCTTTGACATGTTCAACTTCCTGGCCTCCCAGCACCGGGTGCTCCCTGAGGGAGCCACCTGTGACGAGGAAGAGGATGAGGTGCAGCTCAGGTCAACCAGGTATGGAGGGCAGGCCAGGGTGTTGGGGGTGTTCTGGAAGGGTCCTAAAGAGGGTGACTGGGGCAAGAGAGGTCATTCCTGGGTACCAGCCTGTGACACTGCTGACCCCACCAGACGTGCCACCAGCCTGGAGCTGCCCATGGCCATGCGCTTTCGCCACCTCAAGAAGACATCCAAAGAGGCTGTGGGTGTCTACAGGTTAGTGGGGTCGGGGGGGGAGGATGCCCCTTGGGTGGATGGACAGGTGCCCTGGTGCGGGGCTGCCTTGGTTCTGTCCCCCTGCCCCCTGAACTCCCCCTGGCCCATCCTCCCCTGCAGATCTGCCATCCACGGGCGGGGCCTGTTCTGTAAGCGAAACATTGATGCTGGCGAGATGGTCATTGAGTATTCCGGCATCGTCATTCGCTCCGTGCTGACTGACAAGCGGGAGAAGTTCTACGATGGGAAGGTGGGCTCCACGGGGCCATGGGGCTGAGGTGGGCGAAGCGGCGGGGGGGGGGGGGGCTGGGCCGTGGGAACAGAGCACCTGATGGGCCGTCGCGGTCCCTGTAGGGTATCGGGTGCTACATGTTCCGTATGGATGACTTTGACGTGGTGGACGCCACGATGCACGGCAACGCCGCGCGCTTCATCAACCACTCGTGTGAGCCCAACTGCTTCTCTCGAGTCATCCACGTGGAGGGCCAGAAGCACATCGTCATCTTCGCCCTGCGCCGCATCCTGCGAGGCGAGGAGCTCACCTACGACTACAAGTTCCCCATCGAGGATGCCAGCAACAAGCTGCCCTGCAACTGCGGCGCCAAGCGCTGCCGTCGCTTCCTGAACTGAGGCCGCGGCGGCTCCCCCCACCCCCCGCTGCCGCCGTGCCCCGAGTCTGGGGGCTCCCGAGTCCCTCCCAGAGCATCTCACCCCCACCCTCCTGTTGAGGGTGGATGTGGGCCTGCAGGTGGCAGAGGCCCTGCCTCCACCCCTCCAGCCCACCCAGCAATCGCCCCCTTCTTGCCCTGGGGGCCCAGGATGTAGATACTGTACAAAGGTTTCTAAATCCCTTCTTTTCTATGCACTTTTTTATTTAAGAGGGTGGGTTCCCAGGTGGGAACCCCCCATAATAAAGTCTGTCAATGTTTGGAGAGGTGGTCTTCCGGTTTGTATGGTGCTGGGGGCAGGTAGGAGCTCCCGTTCCTCCACACCAGTCCTGAGCCGGGGGCAGCCTGGCAGCCTGAGCACGGGGTGGGAGGCCATCACTCAGAATTACAGGTAAGTCGTGGGGCTCTCTTACAGCGTCACAGCAACATGTGCTCTCCGGATTCCCACTTGGAACCCGGGCAGGGTCCCTGCGGATGAGCCCTTCCAGGGGTAGCAGGGCCCTTTCCCAGAGAGGACCTTGGTTGCCCAGACGCACCTGAGGCCAGCTCTCAGTGGCGCCTCAGGCCGTATCTGGTCTTGCGTTTATGCTGGAAGGAGAGGATTCTCGTTGGGTCTCGGCCCAATGAAGACTGTATTTCAAAAGCACGCCTGAGTGAGGCCCAGAGACGGCAGGCGCTTATTTCACAGGAAACTTTCTTGAGGACTAGGCTGGGCGAGGCCCGGGTCAGCCAAGTTTGGACAGCACCTGCAGCGCATCTGCCCGCCCTAGCTGGGCCAGGTGCGTGCCGAGCTGGCCCAGAGAAGCAGAGGGTTCCCTCGCCACCACCAGCTCAACCAAGGCCCGCAGTGGCGAGTGACTGGGCCGCAGTGAGTAGGCGAAGGTGGACCAGGCAGCAGGCAGACTGTACCTCACCGCCAGGTGTCTCGTGGTGCCACAGGCCGTCCCCCGACCCGGCCCAGGCTCAGGATCCAGAAGCACTATGAGCTCCTCCAGCAGGCGACACAGGGGCTGTGATGCCAGCTTCGGCAGTTCTGGGAGAGCAGTGGAGGGGTGATGGAGAGGAAGGGCAATCTCCCAGTCCACCCTCTCCCTCCCTGGCCTGTCCCCAACCAACCTCTGCCCACGAGTGGAACCAGAGCCGCCTCCTTCGGTGGGCCCCCTGCCTCGGATGCCTCCCGGGAGCCTGAAGAGGATGAGTGCACAGGGAAGAGAGTATGGATGTCGGTGTCGCCACAAACCAAGCCAGGATACGGGTGGAGGACAACTTTCGCCTGGCGGTGGCACCGCTGGGCGAGCAGGAGGATGGATCACTGCTGAGGTCACCAGCAGAACCAGCACCACGAGAACCAGCACGACCGGCAGGGCAAAATTCGGCAAGGCCTGCTGAGCGACCTTGCGCTCAGATGTCCACAAGAGGCTGGGCTCCTGGGAGCTAAGGACCGTTGGTCTCCCAGACTTCAGGGGGCAGGGCTCCTTGGGAGGGACCGACCTCTGCAAATAGGTTGGAATAAAGCGGGAGGTGTGCCCCACTCCTGGCCCCTCAGCCTGAACCTCCCATCCTTCTATCCCTCCGTGGGACCAAATCCCCGCCCGATCCAGCTATCCCTCCTCGCTTCCCCGCCCCCCTCCCACACACTTTAACCCAGGTAGATCCCCTGATCCTATTATGCCCCCACCCCATTCTCTTCAGTGGGGCTACACCCCCCTCCCTTGATCCAGACCCCGCCCATCCAATCCCAAACCACGCCCTCCACCTCCGCCCCGCCTCCAGCGAGCGGCACCCTAGCCCAGGCCCTCCGGAGCCCGACCAGCACCTCTCTGCAGCGCCGCTGTGTTCCGCTCCGGCTCCCCGCGGGAGCAGGGGCCGTGGCTCCGCCGCCACAGGGGCTACATAGCTCCGCATTGTCGGGGTTGCACTGCCCAATAGGACACTCTTTGAAGGGGCGCGACACGTGATCGCCAGAGTCATTGAGCCCGCAGTTTTCCGAAAACTCTTAGTCTGGTGGGAAACAGGGTCTCACGTGTGGCCGCCCAGCCCCTCCTCTCCGGCACTAGCGACACCCTTTCCCCTTTGTCCTATCCCAGCAGGCCCCACCTCTTGGGCTCTACTAACCCAACCTATCACCGACATGCCCACCGTCCCCGCACCAGCCCTGCCAGTCTTGACCCTCTCTTCACAGGCCCCGCCCCTCCCGTTATCCCCGCCCCGCTCGAGCACCAAGCCCCGCCCACTCCTGATTTACCCACACACCTCACCCTTTGAACACTGCCGATCCCGCCCAACAGGCAATACCCCTTCGCCGTGGCCCTAACGTAACCGGTACTATCCCTTCCATCACAAGCTGAGTCCCACATCGTCTTATCTGCGTAAGGCCCGCCGCCCCCACCCCGAAGCAAGCCTCACAGTAACCCACAGACCGTCCCTTCCCTGGCTTCTTATCACCCCCTGGCTCTGCCCGAACATACGCATACCCCCGTCCCCGCTCCTCACCCGGGCAGGGGAGCGGCCCAAAGCGCTGCAGGCAGCTGCCGCAGCACCAGTTATCAGGGTTCCAGTACTCGAGGCGCCTGCAGTGCTGGGAGGCCCCCCGAGGCGCCGCCTGGGCCAGGAGCAGCGCGGCAGTCAGGAGGAGGCATAGGGGCCCCATCCGGGCGGGGTCTGCAGCCTGGGGGGCCGTGACCGCAGGACTTCCGACCACAGCGCTTCCGTCACACTTTCCAGGAAACCCGGGCAGAAGGAAGCAGTGATGTGGGGGCATGGCGTCCCCAGACCCCTTTGGAAGACGGGAATCTACCCCCAGCCCCTAGCCCAGCTCCTGGCCCATTATCAGAAGGGCCACCAAGACCTCAAGATGGCTAGAATGAGGAGTCCGGAACCACAATGATCGGATTCATATCCCACCTCTGCCATCTTCCTTACCTCTTTTCTCATCCCTAAAACGGGATGACAGTACCTGTCTCAAAGGTTTATTGTGAAGAATTAACATCATTGCTTGAAGTAAAGCACTTAGAACAGCACCTGGCATATGGTAAGCTTAAGTAGTAGGTTATTTCCAACTCCCATGTCAGGGCAGCTGACAAGGAGGACCCAGACCTCACCCTCTGGAGACTCCCACTCAACTCCCAGTAACCTTACCTTGGCTCCCTAAACCCAATCTCCTCCCGGCTGGGAATCCTCCAACCTGCCACAGCTAGGCACCTCCCCCTTGAGAAGCCGGAGAGAGCCGTGCTGAGGTTCCCAGCACAGAGGTGTCCCCACCCCAACCAGTCCCACTGAGGGGTTTCTAGAGCCTTGGGCCCTGAGCCTGCTGCTCTCCCACCTGTTGGAAGTTCTACAGCAAAAGTTGTGGCCAGAGCCCAGCCCGCTTCCCCTTTCGTCAGGAGATGTGGGGGTGGAAGGAAACTCCAGCCCACAGCTAGGCTCAAGCTAACAGGTTCTAAACCCTCAATACAGAACTTTATTAGGGGAGGGGTGGTAAGAGAAAGTCCCTGTGTTGGACAGATTACATCACGGTGCCCCGGACCCTGGGGAAGATGGCACTGGGGGGTTAAGGGAGCTTTCAGGAGGGGTCCTGGCCAGGAACATTTATGCCTGTCAAGGGTGGAGATTAAGGGAGCCAGGGTCTCAGAAGCGGCCATGCCGGTGGTCTGGGGAACGTCGTCGGTTTCTTTCTCGGGGACGGTGGCCAGTATGGGACCTCGGGGGCGACCTGGGGACAGGAGTGGAGAGATGAGGGTTAGAGCTGGAAGGAGTGTGGCCCTGTTCCCCAGGTCTGCCTCTCTGCTCTGGGATGGGGCAGGTAACCAGAGTTCCTGCGTGGTATCAGGACAGGTTCTCAGGGACTGATCTCCGGACTGGAGATCCAGACTGGTCTTGGGTTTGGGGCTTTGGAGTCCCAGCTGGTTTGGGGGTTGAGACTCAGGCGCTGGTCTTTGGACGGTGCTCAGAGCTAGTCTTTGGATACAAAAGAGAGACGCTGTTATTGGGGCACAGGATCAGGTCCACCTCGGGGTATAAGGGCCTTAGGGTATGAGATGTCTTGACAGGCTGGTCCTGAGGTACCTGCGCCTGGGTCCCCGCCCATACAGCTGACGTCGGAGGTTCCGAGAGATGGGCCGCAGGTGCATGAAGTTGCAGAAGCCCCCGCGGGTACATTCCCTGGGTAGAGGATGGATGGATGGACGAGGCTGTTGGCAATGACAGCACCCCAACACACAGGAGTCTGGGACTCCAGGTGCCCATCCCACCCCCATACTACCATACCCCATCTCATACTGCCGGCAGCATGACTCCCGGAAGTCGGTGACAGGAGACAGCTCAGCATGCACAGCCTGCCCGTTGAACCAGCGGTTATTGAGTTCAGCCACTGCCCGCTCTGCATCCTCTTCACGCCGAAACTGAGGGCAAAGTCGATCAGGGTCAGCAATCAAACTCAGAAGTCTTTAGGGGATTAGTCAGCAGCTCTGGGGCCGGGCTGGATTTAGTGATGGACCTCAAGCTGTGAGGCTTCAGTGGTGGCCATCAGGCACTGAAATGCCTCCACCTCTAGGCTCTCATGTGGGGACAGGAGGCACCTTGACATAGACATTGCCCACGAGGTGGTCCCCCAGGTTGTCGCACACATTCATCTCTTCAATCTCCCCGTACTTCTCCTGCAGCTCCGTGAACACCTCCTGCGGAAAACCAGGAGGAACTCAGCTGAGCTCCTGTTCCACAGGAAACTCAACCCATCCCTTGCCAACCCTCACCTCGAAGAAGTTATCATAGTGTTCTTGCACCTCGACGTCGCTCACGTGACCTGGGGAGGGGCAGGGTGAAATCAGGGAGTGGCCTGTTGGGGGCTGTCCGCCCTGCCCCCAAGACCGGTCCCTCACTCACAGTGCGATCCGTCTGCGGTTTGGGCGGTGTTCTGTGGATTCCGGTACAGGTTGAGCAGCACTATGGTCTGAACAGAATTTAAAGGGGGCGGGCCTGAGCGCATGCAAAGGGGTGAGGTGAGGTATAAAGGCTGGGGGTGAGACTTGGCAACAGAGAAGAAGCCTAAGCATCTTGAGTGCATCAAGCGATGCTTGCCCCGAAGGAAACCAGAAGAGACACCTAGCACTCGGGGACAGCCCAGCGGTGTAATTTGTACGTACGGGGGCGTGGCAAGTTCCTCGGAGAAGGGCCTGAAGGAAAGGGGAGGAAGCTGCAGAGGCCCGACACGAAAAAAGCCGGTGGTGGGGTGGAGCTTAGAAATCCGGAAAAGGCGGGACCTCGTGGTGACGGCCAACAGAAGGGGAATGGCCGGGAGGCGTTAACCCTCAAGGCTCCGTGCCGGGTCTCACCTGGCTGAAAGTCGGTTTGTTGTGAAGCCGGGAGCACCGGTCCCCGTGCCGGCAGGCCCCGATCTTAAAGTAAAAAGAGCAGTTAACCCTGGAAGAGGTGCAAAGACAGAGGTGAACCGAGGGCCGGGGAGGCCGGACACCCCAGAAACACCGCCCAACGCCTCCCAGCCACCAGGGAACCAAATGTCCCGGTCCCGGCCCCCGCAAGGGGCCACTCCCTGCGCCCGTTCTCACTTGTCCTTTTCAGTCCCGAATATCGAAGCTAAATATTCAGCCATTTTTACCCGAACCCTCCAACACGCTCTGCTCTTTACGTCATTTCCGTTGCTTCAGAGCGTTGGGAAGTGTAGTTGGTCGCTGCCTCCCGACACAGCACGCGCTCAGAAACTGCCTACTGCGCTTGCGGGTTAGAGCCCTGCGCCCTCCCTGCAAAATCACCACCTGGAGTTCCCTGAAGGCGCATGCGTGCAGCGTTGCCGCATCCAAAAAGACTACAAACTCCAGAGATACTTGCGGTATGTCGCGCAAACGTCCGGAATTGCAAGTGGCTAAGGCTTCCAAGCGGAGGAAGTAGATTGCACTGGTGAGTTGGGGTCCGTTCGCGCCCCCGAATAAACATGAAGAGCGTTCGACCCAGTCAGCTTGCTGGTGGGGGCCGGGGTACCCTTCTTTCGGCAAACCCACCCTTCAGTTTATCTTCGTTTTGTCGTTATAGGGGCGTGGTTGTTTGCGATCCCTGCATCTGTCACTTGGGGTCAAGGCTAGGCTCCTGCCCTACAGACCCGCGGGACGACTCGGCCTCAGCGCAACTATGAACTTGGAGCGCGTGTCTAACGAGGAGAAGTTGAATCTGTGCCGGAAGTACTACCTGGGTAAGGGGCCGGTTCCTAGGATCCCAGGAGAAGAGAGGGGACCGGACTAGAGCGCCTGAGGGAAGAGAGCCTGGGGGCATGGATTCTTGAGTCTAAGGGATAAAGCGACTGGGGTTGCGGACTCCTGGATCTGAGGGAAGGGCCTGGGACCTGAGGAAAGAGGAAGCTGGAGCCTCAGCTTCTGGGTCCCAAGAGACGGGGGGAGTTGGGCCGGACTCTGGGTCCTGAAAAAGAGATGAATGAGGAGTCAGATTTGGGGGCCCTGGGGGGGGGCAGGATTTCTAAGTCTCTGATAGCAGAGATCTCCATTTGAACTTGGATATGGGGGAGGGCCTTCCGTCCTCTAGGTGGGAGTTGGGGCAGGGGGAGGGGAGGGAGAGGAGGATCCTCACTGCCTTACATTCCAGTTTGTTTGTTTTTTCTCTTAGGTGGGTTTGCTTTCCTGCCTTTTCTCTGGTTGGTCAACATCTTCTGGTTCTTCCGAGAGGCCTTCCTTGTCCCAGCATACACGGAGCAGAGCCAAATCAAAGGCTGTGAGTCCAGGGCACAGATGAAGGGAGGCCATCGGGTGTTGGAAAGGAATGATGGAGGTTCCAAAATTCTGGGGCTCTGGAAGAGACGAGAGGGCCAGCATGGGGCGGGGGGGGGGGGGCGGGCAGGACAGGTGGAGGCCAACCTTACCCATTCCTGTTCCCTTTTACAGATGTCTGGCGCTCAGCTTTGGGCTTCCTCTTCTGGGTGATTGTGCTCACCACCTGGATCACCATCTTCCAGATCTACCGGCCCCGTTGGGGCGCCCTTGGTGACTACCTCTCCTTCACCATACCCCTGGGTACTCCCTGATAGCTTCCTCCACACAGGCCTGGGACCTGCTCATTCGCCCAGGATGGGCTTCTCTACTCTAAGCTCACTCTCAAACCCCTAAGACTTGTTCCCATTTCCTATGTTCTTTGCTGACATCCCCCAATAAAGGACTCTATTCTCTATATTGACTTCCTGGATCTTTTGGAGCTTGAAGCATAAAATGATTATTACTATTCAGAAATACGTATTGAATGCCCACTTTGTGCCAGGCTTAGTGCTTCACACATTATGTGCAATCCTTCATTCTCTGCACCCTCTGAAATAGGAACTTTCCTGCTCAGGAACCCTGTTTTCCAGATGCAGAACTAAGAAAGGAATAATGCTTGCATTACTAGGGGCTTTTATCTTGTGCTGGTGGTGTGTGAATTTGAAAACTGTACTTTCCCCCTTGGTCTCAGTATTCTCATCAGAAATGTGGATATCAATGCTACCTCCTAGAATTTATCTGAGCCAAAACGTATGTGGTAAATGGAAGTTTCCCATTTTCTGAAGATGTTGTCCGCAGCAACAGACACAGCCAAGAGCTTTATCAGAGAAGGCTTCCTTGACTATCTTATTTAAAATTTCAGTCCCTACCTTGGTACTCCCTATATGCCTTCAGGTTGTATCCTTTCTCATTACATTTCATTTAAAATGTTTCACTTGTTTCTTGTAATCTTAACATCCTCTAAAATATACGCTTTATTACGTTTTGTTCAGTGCAGTGTCCCCAGTGCCTAGAAGAGTGCCTGGCACACTAATAAATACTTGCTAAATAAAAGGTTGTGCCTGAAGAGAGGTTAACAGGTAGCTGGCACCTAGCAAGTGCTCAGTAAGACTGAACCCGGCCTAACTCCAGACTTCTCCTCCTCAGGGACAAGAAGGACTCCCACGGTTAAATAAACGGGTCGACAGCTAAACTGGTGTTACTCAAAGGTTCTAACACTACAAGTTCCAAGAAGCCTCGCGAAGCCCTGATCCTACATCACCCACCGTGCCTCGCGCGGCGCAGGCGCCGTTACTCTAGCTGCGTCTCGGGAGCTGGAACTACACCTCCCAGGAAGCGCTCCGGAATGTCGTTGGTTTGTTTCCGGAAACGGGGCCTCAGAAAGGTGGGACTTAGACCTGGGAGCCGATGGCGGCAGCTGTCAATTGGTCAGGGACGAGATCGACGGTTGCACTGACAAATGGAAATAAGGAATTGCCAAAGGGGCCCGCCCACAGAAGGGAAACTAGTGGAGGTGGCGGCTGCAGTGGCGGTCGCCGCCGGACACTCCTCAGCGCGGAGGACTGGGCGCGCACAAAGCTTACCTTGACCTCTTCCCGTCTGCCTTCAGCTTTGATTTGTGACCCTGGGCTCTTCTGGGCTCCTCTGACCCAGTTAGCCACACCTCAGACCCAAACCATGTTCCCGGTGAAGGTGAAAGTGGAGAAATCAGGTGAGGACCCCGAGGTAAGGGGCTTTTAGGGGAGCACTGACCGATCGGGGTATGGGAGTCCCGAAAGACAGGATTATCGCGATAAGACGGACCATGCGACTTCTTCCTGCCGCCCATCTGACTATCGCTATGTCAGACCATGGAACGATTCTTGCCCTCTTCATACCTTCCCGATTTGTGCTCAAGGTAGCGTTGAGACTGAATGGTGGTGGCTCAGACCGTGTGGTGCGGTAAGACACCGGGATCCCGAGCCGTGTGACTCTGAAAAGGAGTCTTCTTGGCTTTGCCTCAGTTGCCCTGTTTCCAGCAGTGGTCATTTCCAGCAAAGGTCAAGCATTGTGCTCAGCGCCTGAAGTACAGGGAAGCTTTTAATCCTGGCAATCACTGTATCCCAACAGTCCTAGGAAGTAGGAGAAATGTGGTGGGTGGGGAAACCGAAGCTGAGAGAGAGGAAGTCATTTTGAGTTGGGCCCGAGTTGATGGGAAATCAGGACTGGCATATTGAGGGTGGTGGTGGGAGAGGCACAGAACCCAGACTAAAAAGCAAAATGATGTGTAGGGTGTTTGATGGTATAAGTGGTAATAAAACGAAACAGGAGAAGGTCAGATCTGACAGGATGAGGGAGAGAGCTATGAGGATAGGTGAGGAAACAGCAAATCCGACCAAGGAAATAGCTCCGAAGAGGCCCTGAGGTGGAAGACTCATCTGGCCTGTGCAAGGACGGGCAGGGAGGCCAGTGTGGCTGGAGCAGAGGGAGTGAGGTGGGGAGCGGGAGGGAATGACGGCAAAGAGTGAGAAGGAGGAGGACAGATCTTGTGGGCGCAAGTTAGGACTTTGGCTTTTGTTTTGAGGGAAATGGGGAGCCAAGGGAGGGTTTGAAGCTGAGGAGCGAGTTAATAAAAATGCCCCCCCAAATGCCAAAAAAAATCGTGGGTGGAAGAGTAAAGGCTTGGCCACAAATGATGGTTGGGGGGCAGGGGTAGGCAGGGTCATGGAGGCCTGTGAACACCGGGCTGAAGAGCTCAGTCCCGGGGCTCTGCAGAATTGTGGAGTGTTCTGAGCAGGAGAGGATCAGGGTTGGTTTGGTTTTCCAAAGAGTCCTCTGGCCACCTCGTGGAGATTAGGGCAGAAGAGGAAATTGAGGCTGGGAACCCAGGAGAAGGAAGGGAGAGGACCGGGGTAGGGAGGGGGTACATGGAGAGACACTCAGGAGGCCAAGTGGACAGGCCATGGGTTTGGTGAGCTGGGTGGGGGAGGGTGAGAGGTGTCTATTATGAGGCTCAGGGAGGGACTAGGAGACAGTGGGGCTACCCCCGAGATGGGGGCCCAGGAAAAGGGGTAAAGCTTAGAGAGGCACTAAGCCTAGTGTGGGACCCAGTAGATGGTAGGGGCCTAGGGGATGTCTAGAGAAAGGTATCTAGGAGACCATGGGATCCCAAGGTCTAAGGTTCAGAAGAGAAGCAGGGGCTAGGGAAAGAGATGTGGGTATGATCTATACCTTGGCTCCTTCCCAGGGCTCTTTGCTAGAATCTCAGCTGCCCCTAGCCCTTCACCCCCACCCTGTCTGTCCTCAGTGATGTTGGGAATCCCTGTGTCTCCCCATCCCAGGGCTGGCAAAGCATGTCCCCAAGTGTCCTTCCAGGCTTTGAGCATTGGGCCAGAGTGATGCTAGGTACTGGTTGGAAGAAGAGAGCAAACACCTCACAAGAGCAAGAGGAGAATATTTATAACATCATCACCTCCTTAAGTTCTATGATGAGGGGAAGTAAACACATAGGCCGACAGAGCCAGGAATGCAGGAAGGGGGGCCTAGATGTCATTTCCTGCCCAAAATGGATATTTTAGGTGCAGTCTCCAGATTATTAAATGTTGTCCATTCAGATTTAGTTCAGATTTAAAATAACACCACTGCCTCAGCCAAACAAAGCACATCTGGGGGCTAGATTCTGCACCCAGTTTGAGTCTCTGCCTTATAACTTCAGCTGTGGAGCCAGATGGCCTGTGTGCAAATCCTCAGCCCTGCAATTTCCTCGCTGTGTGACTTTGAGCAAGTAGCCTAACTTCTCTGTGCCTCAGTTTCATCATACATAAGATGGGTATAATCATATCTACCTGCCAGAGTTCCTGTGAAAATGTAACAGGGTTAATGTGGGTGACGTGCTTGGAACAATTCTTGGCACATAAAAGTACTCTGTACAACTTACTTATTATTATTACTGCTTGTTGTGAA